TCCGTCAACATGGAGGATTCTCTATATCCCTTTGGATTGGTCACTTATAGATTGGAGGAGGACATTTGGACGAATCCACTTACATATGATGACTATGAGACAATAATTGATCTCCATAGCGCGGCTGACTCTTGGTTGAAGCAGCTAAACTTTTGGCACCATGACTTCAACTTCTTCTCTTCACAACTTTCCATAGAGGGATTATCTTTATAATTTCATTTAAATACTAATATTAGATACTAGGATTCCAGGCATGTTTTAGGAAAAATCCTAACCTGGAAACATGATTGAGACAAATATTGTATTTTATTTTAAATAGTTTTATACTACCTTTGACCCATGATTGACTTTTCTTCGAAGAATGACAACCAATGTATGTGTCTTCTATATTGTCTTGTGTTGATACTTTCATTACAATATATTGTGATGTAGTACATGGTAAACATGTTAAAATACCATTTATCAATTTATTGATTTTTATATATGGCATATGACATTCACAACTTAAACTTTGAATATAAACTTTCACTTTATTGATTTCTATATAATTTTTTATTAAATGTGTATCTAAAATATTTTCAATACTTGAAATATATTGTTGTTTAATCATCTCATTAAAATTGATGTTTATATTATTAAGAAGTTAATTTTTATTAAGTTTTCAGTGGTATTTTTACATTTACCCTGTATTCCCAATAATATAGTAACTTGTTTAATTTTTATTATGTTATCACTAATGATGTTATTATTTGGTTGACTATTACATGTTCGGGAGCATTTAGAGAGTAAGGAAGACGTAAAAAATCATGCCTTATTAAGAAGTTATATAACTATATATTTTGAAACACAATACAAACTTAAAAACTTATTACAACATTGTGTTTGGTAAAATAATGTAGTTCTTTTCTAACTCCATATGAATTTATGTTTCCTTCTACCTATATGTTTGAATTATTTTAATACTTTAGAATGGATTCCTTTTTATGTGTTTGAAGATGATTCAACATAAATTGATTTATTGAATAGATGTATTGTGTTCAAAATCAAAATTCATATTGTTGGTACTAATAAATTGAAATATACACACGATTGAAGTGAGATTTGGTAATATTATACATTAAGCCAAATAATTTATTTATTCTAGTGTATGTGCTGTAAAAAGTTATTAGTTTTTTATAGCATAATTGTAGTACACTTCTAAAGAAACCCCTTTCTAAAAAAATAGGGAAATGCGGGAACAAGACCTATATTTTTCCAGTTCCAGACTGACTTTGGTCCCCTAGTGACAGGGCTTTACTTGAAAGTATACAAGTGTCAATGTAGTAATAAATTTCGGTAAAATACCGCGTCGAATCCATAGGAAAACGTTGTTCTATAAAGTACGGTTTTGAGAAATAAAATAGAGAATAAAAGTAAAGTGCAGGGATGTTTGTTGTTTAAATGAATATATATGATAAAGTGACCAAGGATTCGGGATTCAACCAAACGTTAACTAGAATTTAATATAAGTTCTTTGTCAATTCTTATGAGTACGGTATCGCTATTATATTCCCGACTCCGGTTAAGGCAGTGAGAGCGTGATTTCCGCAACGTGAGTCCTGTTACGGCTCACATTCATCTAGAGAAAACCTTCGTTGAATATTAAGATACCAAACACGCACCATACAAGATCGAGTATATTTCTATCCTCAATACTTTGTATGTTTATTCTTCTAGAGAACGATTTATATTGCGACGTTAATTGACCATATAAACCTCTAGGTGTTATGCAACGTAATTATATAGATTTAGTTTAAAGAGAGTAAAACGTGAATTACTTCTAGTGTCCAATTGATATTTCAACGTTAGTTATTTCATATCAATACATATGTTATACGACTATTTTGCATAACATACATGGAAATTCAAACATAAGAAGAATAAATCATAAAATTTGACTTAAAACAAATAATATGAAACTAACGGGCATAGAGGTTCATCCCGAGCCTCGACTTAAGGACTTAGCCTCTAACGCTCATATTAATCACGATTACAATACTTTTAATGTAGAATACCATGTAAATATAAAGGAAATATTACCTAAACATCAATGGTTGGAAGAAATGAGCTTCCACACCTCAAGAACACCACGAGGAACAAAGGAAAACTACAAAAACTTGTTATCAACTACTGAATTAAAATGAGATTGGATGATGAATTTGGGATGGATTGGAGGGTTTATATAGGCTTGAAAATGATCTTTGATGATCTATTCATGATCCTCAATCAAATTGGGGCGAAATTTTTGAGCTATACCTTCAAAATATCTTCATTTCAACTCAAGATATTCATGCACGTTGTCTGGTTTTTCTGCAGATTTGGGGTAATCTGCGTCGGTCGGTGGGTAACCGGCGCCGGTCAGTGGGTAACCAGCGCCGATTTGAGTGAAATTTCCATGAAAAATATGTTAAACCGGCACCAATTGAGTAGTGAACCGGTGCAGGTTGCGGTTTGGCATTTTGACGTTGGGATTTATACAAGTGACCGGCGTCGGTTAGGTGCAATTTCGGCGCCGATTTCTTCAAGGGATTTAGGAAAGGTTCCGTTACGAATTTGGACATGAATCCTTCACCTATGTTGTAGACACTGAAGTCTTCTATCCACCAAAACTTAAATTATGTGTTCTGAATCCTCCAATCAAAAGATATGGATATGAGAGGTATGCATCATGAAATCCCACCAGCAACATCTTACTTTATTGATTGATTGGGTCTTGATTCTTTCATATTTTGGCCATGACGTCTTCATAATATTTGTAGCTTATTTAGTTATCATTCACATGAAATCCGCATCAAGTCGTTTGGATTCTCTACAATAAGATATACTTGAATTATGGGCAGAACGTCATCCTCTTGGTCAAAGCCGTTCATCACAATGTTTTATGCTCTAACTCTCATTCTGAATGTATTTGTCAATTTCTCTTCTTTTCTCCGACAAATACTTATAAATGCTTATGTTAAACACAAGTAAGTATACCGGCTATCACCTAGCTAGTCCCGTATTTTTATTAATGTTTAAACCCCACACCCTCATCCCACTTCTTTTTGAGCTTTTTAAACGGACCTTCACCCACTTTAAAATCATTCCCAGTCATTCTAATACAATAAAAATAAAAATAAATCGTCCGGAATTGGTACTGGCTGGTCCCAGCCCCGGTCCCAAAAAGTGAGGCATGAGATTAGGGATTCTGTCCCACCGATCCAGTCTCCATCGTGACCCGGAATCGTATTCACGTCCTGATTCAAAAACTGACTATTTCTGTGAATCATGAAAGATTGAAAGTAAGTATTTTACATGTGAATTTAAAATAGATATAATAATCTTTTAAAAATCATTCACCAATATATGTTCATTTAAACTTTTGGAATATTTTTATTACATTTAAAAAATATGTTAGCGGGTTGAGATTTAGGAAACTACCGAATCTCATAATCTCTTTTCACATGAGAATGAAAAATCTCTTAAATGAGATGTGTATTGCAATAAAATTTCTGCAATCTCAGAGATATTTCAATACTTTCAAAAATCTCTTTTCACGTCCCAACAAGAACGTTATTAAAAAAGACGTTGTCCGCGTCAAAAGTGTTCTTCAGTGAATGTACTTTCAGGTGGAAAATCCTTAATATGAATAAATCTATTAATTAATTGGACTAGATATCTGAGTGGCTAAAGTCACAAAATTAAAAATGACTATAATCAAAAGTTACAGAACTAAATGTATAATTTGTTATCAACTTAATTAAAAATTACTCCATATGAAGGATGTTTTTACTTAGACTGTTTTCAGTCTCATCCTAGACTCGACCAGACTTAAACAAACCAGATTAGACCAGACCAAACTTCGTAGTTATAAAATACACAGTGACCAGACATTTACCGGACCAGACCAGACACGTAAATTACAGTCCAACTAAAAATGTATCCTACAGTCGGATGTACCTTGCGCACGGTACAACTGGTCCTGCCCTTTTTACGCTTTTGGGCTTCTTGGCTTCGCACGAGACTTCCCTGATCTTGCTTCGCACCAGACTTCACACTTGCTTCTTCGTTCTCGCTCGGCTTCTTCGATCTGATTTCTCACCAGGCGGATTGCTTCTCGTCGCCACTCTCTTCTTCTCAAGCACGAACGCCCTCCTGCTATGCAAGAGACGATGGCTCCTGGGATCTTCTTTGTTGGCCGGTGCTGCGAGAAGAAGAAGTACGGAGAAGACAAATTGAGCGATGATTTGGGAGACTGAGTTCATAATTCTTTGTTGACGAATCTCAAATGAGTTTATATTAAACTCAAATGAGTATATGTTTAAATTGAATGAACATACACAAATGAATATTGAACATATTAGAAATGAGTTTTATGTTAAACTCAAATGAATATAAAGCCCAAAATGAATGGGCATACACAAATGAGTTTTTTTTTAATTTTTTGATACTCATTTTGTAAGTTATGTATGCTCATTTGGTATCTCATTATGCTCATCTTAAAATGTTGGACATTTCAAATGTATCATACTAAATTAGATTCACATATTGAAATTAATTGGAATTGATTACAGACATAATTTAAAAACTTTTTATAAAAGAAAAAATAATAAAAAGAAAGCCAATTAGTAGATATGAACCAGACAAAGAACGTTGATGCTCATTATTAGGCTCCTATTACTCAAAAGAGCAAGCTTGATACTCAACAAAATTACATTAATGTTAAATTGCTAGTTCAAGAGAAGCCGCGTTTTTCACATAAATTACAAAAATGTCACCGTACAGTCGGTTGTATAGTATAAGCTTTCGTTTTTTATAGTACACGAGATCATAATTTCCCAATTAGCAAATTACAAAAAAAAATAGGATTTTCAATTAGCAAATTACTAATTCATTTGTTGTGGCACCACATAAACGTGTTACTCATTTTGGGGGTGGGTAAAAATGAGTAAACCCAAAATGGGGTACCTATATCATTTTGTGGCCATTCTTCTTCGCCACTCATTTCTGGGGAATTTTGGTTTGAGAAGATATGCCGGTTTTCACTGGAGGACATGCTTGTCTCTCGCAACTCTCTGCTGCTAACTTGCTTCCTGCTCCTCCTTTTGTTCCCCGACCCATTCATCTTCTTCCTCTGAAGCACATTCGTCGTGATTCTCGTTTTTCATCTTTCATGAAAGTTTTTCTTCTCGTCCCTAAAGTCTCTGTCTCATGTGGGAGTGGCTCTATCGCAGATGGGGTTGATCGGCACCTTTCGGATGAAATCAGGTCAACTAAGGTTAGTTTACGATATTTTTTGTTTACTATTCCTTCTTATCATAGTATCATGTGATTCATGTATATTATCGAGGTGCTTGTTAGTCTTAAGTTCTGTTTTCTTCACTGATTCCTTTAAAGTAAAATCACTAAGTATATATATAGGAATAACATAGGATTTTGTTGCATGCAAGTAAATGCAGTTACTACTTGTCTCAAGAATTTGCCAATTAAGAAACATAATTCTGGTAAAAGAAACTGCAGAAAATAGGTTTAAAACATGGTTTATATAAGTATTCTTGTTTTTTGCTAAAAATATAACTCATTGGCCTAAAAAGAATAAAAGTAATTGATAATTCCTCTTTTAGAAGTAAATAAGTTAGTACCATTCGCTGGAAAAAGTGCTGACGGTCCTATGTAAAGAAATGTGTTATATTTATATCTTATTTGCAGCATTCCCCTGTAAGACATGGGGCATTATAGTAAAAGTTACCAGTTTTTTAGAAATGTTTATTTATCATGTAATTTCCAGTGTTCACGGGATGAGGTGGTAATAGTTGCTAGTTTTTAAAATGCCTGTATGTGCTCTAATTTTTTTCATTCGTCACAAATTGCCAAACAATGAATTAACTCATTGTTTGGGACAAAATAGGAATTTTTGATGGTGTAGCATAAATATAGTACACCATATCCCTTTGTATTTGATATTTCAATTTTTGAGTCATCTAATACTTTGGCATCACAAAGAAGTAGAGGTCTGCTGACTGGAAGGCAGCAAACATTTACTTTGAAAGAGGGGTGATATGTGAAGGCAAGGTGGAGGGATTCAATAATGGTGGTTTACGCATTCGGTTCTATTCGCTTGTGGGATTTCTTCCTTTTCGGCAATTGAGTCCTTCACATCAGTGTAAAGGTATAAAAGCTACATACTTACCATGTTCCATTTTTAAGAAACTGAATAATTCCAAGATTCTATTTACCTCTTAACATATAAACTTGCCTATACTAAAGATATTTTTTCTCATGATGTCTAGAAAATGGGATGAACCCTCCCACCTCTCTTACCCTCGCAATGGGGATGTGTGGCTCAAAACTTTCTTGAGTGTGTGATACAGGAAATTCTTTCAAATGGAATATTTTAACTGCACTTTTCATTCTTATTTTGGTTTCTTACTAGGTTTAATATCATGTATTTTATGACCTAAAGATTTCTTTCCATTGCATATCAACCAAATAACTGAATGTGACTTTATATGATGGCTCTACATTGGATATGCAAGGCCAGATGATGGTTTCTCTGATAATGTTTCCATTTATGTAATGATTAAGGAAAACATAGAAACGCTAAGGTGCTAGTCGTACAAGAATGTCATTAAATGTAGGGGTTAAAATTTCATGTCTGCTTTTGCCCTTACGTACCTGGTTGTGTCATAGCGTCATCCTAAACTTTGTAGTTTCTGTTTTGAATATTTTAAGTGGTGTGATTATCTACTATTTTGCAAAACGCTTCCATAACTTTCAACATTTTATTCTTACTCTATTGCTTGGTAACTAATGTTATGTATTTGCTAAGCTGGTTGAGGATTGTAAACAATTTCTTTGTATTGTAGATCCAAACAAAACCATTCAAGAGATTGCAAAAGGTTTGGTTGGTTCCATCCTCTCGGTGAAGGTTTGGCATTCTTCCGTTTTCAAACTTACCACTGAATTGTTATTTTGGCTAGAGAAGTTCAATATTGTCATCTTGTATGCAATTTAGTTCCAATCTTTATGAGTAATACTGAAGTCTGAAACATATAATCACTGCAAGAAACAATAGTTGTTAATAGTTGGACTTATCAATGAAAAAACAAGCCTGTTAGATTTGCCCATTTCTAGATTAGTAGATTACCTTGTCAGTATATCAAAGACTCTTGATGTTCTATTCTTGTGAAAATGATTCCTGTAAGTTTCTCCCTTGGCACAAGTTTTGTGCATTGCTTGCAGAGTTTTAAAGTTGTATAATTTCCTTACACCGTAATATAACTATTAAACTCAATTAACCCCGCAATTCCTGTCAGGCAATTGAAGTTAGTGAAGAGTTGGGAAGATTGATATTCTCTGAAAAGGAAGCAAATTGGGCAAAGTTCTCTAGTCAAATAAAAATTGGTGATATTTTTGAAGGAAGAGTTAGCTCTGTTGAGGATTTTGGTGCTTTTGTTGACCTAAGATTTCCAGATGGTATGTATCTTGATACATACTAACTAATGATGGATTTCATTTCCTCTATGATATCATCTTCGTCTGTCATTTCACTGTTCAGGTTGTATTTCTGTGTTAAAAAAGGTCCAAGTCCTTTCTGTTCTAGATAAGGGTGTCAACAGGGCTCTAATGAAAATGTGTGCATAGATTGTTTTTACCAGGAATTAATTCACAACCTCTTACAGTCTTACTCGCTAAAGAGGTTTCTCACTATCTAATAGCTATGTATTATAAACTGTGATGCAGGGTATTGTCACCTTACTGGGTTTGTGCATGTCTCAGAAGTGTCATGGGATGTTGTGCGTGATGTTAGAGATGTTTTGACAAAGGGAAATGAAGTGAGGGTCAAAATTATAAAGATAGATAGGTGATTTGCCATGCTGATTTACTTTATGCACATCTGAGTTCTGATTCATTTTTTCCTTACAATATAACATTTTCCAGTGAAAAAGTAAGGATTTCACTCTCCATTAAACAATTAGAGGATGATCCGTTGCTAGAAACACTAGATAAAGTAATTCCCCAGGTAAGAGATTCTATAAAGTTTTTCATGTGGTTAGCTCAAGATGATTTTTTGTTTTCTTTTTCTCCAAAATGTTTTTCAACACATATTTATGTATTCTTGCTCTTCTTGATGATGCTGGATGTTAAATTCCACAGGGTTCTTCACAGTATCTTAGTACCTTGAATTCAAAGGGTAGCCTTACTATTGAACCTCTTCCTGGGCTTGAAACAATAATTGCAGAGCTTATGCAAGAAGATGGGTATGTGCTAGTATCACTTTCACCTTAATGTTATTCAATATTTACTTTTTGAGCTGTATGCAATGTCTTTGCAGTCCCATGAATATCAAGAAATTCAGACATTGATAAAGTATGAAAAAAACCACATGCAAAAAGTTGGGAAAAACAATACAATGTTTAGCTGTTGTAGTTTGTATATCTTTACTCTACAGTTTTGTTACATTGAGTACAAGTAAAAAGCTAAGTGTGATGACATTCCATAAACACGATGCGCCTTGCATTTCTGCTTGCATAGTAACTTGTTTTACAGTAAAACATTTTTCCGTATAATCATTTTCCACAATGACTTATATTTTCTGCAAACAAACAGAGCATCAGTTTAATATGCCTTTTTTCCACAATGCCATTTTTCCATATAATCATTTTCCGGTTATGGCCTGACTCAGCACGGGTCAGCGCCTCAGCGGGTAATTCCGGGTTCGGACAGAATAGCGGATTAGCGGTTTGATGGCCTATCGGATTAGATTGGGCTCCGGGTGATCGGGTTCCGGGTCAACCCACCCGGTCCAGTCCGGTTCTTACAACATAGGAATAAATATGTAGTTTGTATATATTTTACTTTACTATCTTCAAGATGATTGTAATATTAGCCTTATCATCAACTATGTTACTAACATGTAGAGTGAAATGATGTTTACATTTGTAGTTTGTACACATCTTATCATTGCAACCATGATAGTCAACAACCTTCATTCTTACCCAATTACATTCTTGTTTTAATATTTTATTATGAATGAAACTGATTTTTTTAATAATTAGTGTTCACTTTATTAAGTTTGAACTATGATGTTTGAAGTTACTAGAACTTTAGATAAATTTTTCTTTTGTGTTTTCAACTTTCAATGTTTTTATGTGGTAAAAGGTAAACTATGTGTTGATTTTCTATAGGGAAAAAACCATGAATCAATAAAAGCAAGAAAACGAATCATTTAGGATGATTCGGTTCCATAACGGTCCTTGAATTTTCAAGGAACCAACCTGATTTAATAATTCATTTTACAATGGTGCCACTGTTTTATAAGAAGAACCAATCCGGTCCTAGGCTAATAAATACCTTTAAAATACCTGAGTTTTTTTGCAGGCTAATGTACTGATTTGATCCATAGAGAAACATTTTTTATATAAAATATCATGTTTGGAAAACTAAAGTATGAATTTATATGAAATTGCAAGAGTTCTTGTTTAATTTATTTGTATGTGATCTAGATCAATACATCAAGATTTCTCCTACTAGAGAAATCTCAATTCCAGTTAAGGTAGTGGTAGTGCAGTTTTCCCTACACTGTATGCCGTTACGGCCGATATACCATATATAATCTGACATTCTCAGAATCTCGCATTAACTGCTGGAATCCATTATTCTGCGAACTAAATGCCCCCTTAGGATTTAGTGGTGTCCATTCATTTTCTTACTTAATCTAGATAAGTGGATTTCAAGTGAGCTGTAGGTCAATATGGAATATTTCTTGTAACACCTATTTCCATTGTGGTTTGCACAGTATATACTCTGTAAAAATTAGCCAACAAGGGTTTGAAAAACGGGTTGTTTCACAAGACCTACAGCTCTGGCTCTCCAATGTAAGTGCCTTGCATTGATCATGTTTATTGTCATTATATTTCCATGTGGTTTGTGGTTTTTTGTTTCTGACCATGGAATTTTATAGGCACCGCTTGTTGGAAAGCAATTCACTTTGCTGGCCAGGGCTGGAAGACAGGTATGCACTCTAATCCTCTCTTTTTGAAGATTGGAGGGGCAAATTTTGACTCATTCATTCGAATGCCAGAAATAGCGTTTTGCCTCTACCAGTTAATGTAGTACTCGGCCATTCCTTTTCGTCACAGGTGCAAGAAATACAGCTTACCACATCCCTAAGTCAAGAGGGCATCAAAATGGCATTGCAGCGGGTGCTGGAGCGCATACCATGATTTGCAATGACACTCCCTGCCTCCCTCTGAATGTACACGTTGACGCCATGTCGTGATACGTCCTTACTAAACATTGTTACAGAAGTTTGTAGTGCTCACAAACCCCGATCACTACTCACAACTGATGTTGCTCTTTGGAACTACAAAAACTTGATAAATTTTGAGCCCGTTTGGTAACAATTAAATTGGCTGAATTGGTTGATTCGGCTGAAATTTATGAAGTTTTGGTTGAAGTGGTTGTAATGGTTGATTCTGCTGATTTATGAAAAATTTATATTTAAAATACTCTCTCCGTCCTCCTAATATTGGTACGGAAGGGAGTGGTGTGGTTTTTAAGAAAAGTAGAATTATGTGGTTGGTAATGAGTTGATAAAGTGAAAATAAAGTAAGAATGAATTAGAGACACACAAATGTTACTAAATATGGTATGGGACAATAATAAAGGGACATCCAAAAATGAAAAAATGAGACAATTATAGGGGGACGGAGGGAGTATTTGTTATTAATAAATAAAATAAAAATTATATGAAAAAATAGCTAAAATAATCCTCTACAGTAACTTCAGCCAATACAGCCAGAAAAGTAACCCCGACCTTACTTTTACTTATTATTACACAATTCAGCGCGCTAAATCTAAAGTTACATGTTTGTTGAAAAAATTGCTGATAAGCCGAAAATAAGGGTCACCAAACTGACTCTTTATGGTGTACCCACCGTTTATTCATAGTCTTGTAATTCCCACACATGTTCATATATGGACTTTGAATCAAATAAAAATGATGCATTAGGGCTGTACATAAAAAATGCTCAATATTTAAAGATTCAGACAAAACATTGTGGCACAACATGAATTTTAAAGTTAAAGTAGCAGCAGAGGTAAAAAACGCAGTAGGGGTTACACTTGCAATAGACTTGTGTAGTTGTGTCCATCAAACATGTACTTAATATTGTAAAATTAATATAGCTCTATTTGTGTATAGGGGTGGACCCGGTCTCGGTTCCGGTCCCGAACCGGCCGGTCCAGGACTCCAGGGTATCAAATGTGAAGACCGAAACCGAATCGGGTTTCAACGGACCCGGTTCTGGTCCAGTCTACCCAGCCGGTTCCGGTCCGGTTTCGGCCCCCTTAATTAATTAAAAAAAAAAAGAATTGAGCTGTTGGAACTGGGATAGGGACCGCCCGGTCTGGTCCCCATTTTGCATACCCGAGACCGAGTACATAATTACCGGGTCGGGTACCTGGTCCAAGACCGGGACCGGAAAACCGGACCGAGACCGCCGACCAGGTCCACCCTTATTTGTGTACAATGGAAAAATCAATATATGGGCTTTATTTTCTAATATAACTAAACAAAACATTGATGATTAATTACAGTTACTACTATTATATAGCATTATCATCACTACTATTAATATATTATCATGATCAGCCTTATTTTTATAGTCTTATTTTTGTCGTTTTATCAAAGAACCATTTTGTGTAGTAAAAAGTACATATAGTATGTGGGGTTTTGGTACATTAAAAGTCTATTTTGGTAAAAGAAAGTAAAAGCATGGAATTTTGCATTATATTTTGTAATTTTACATTTGCACATATTTTTTAGCAAATCTTTCTAAACTATTATAGTATCTGTTCTATTAAGGTCAATATCATTGAACTGAGATGAGATTCGAATCTGTGACCTCTTCTTTGGAAGTGTCACAATGATGCTATCATAAGGTACTTGACTACATTTACACATTTAATGATTATAAAAAGTATATGTTTGGTTGGGTTTGAACCTATGTTTAAGTCTATAAGAAGCATTACTCAATATTTTGGTATGGACTTTCAAGACTAAATTGATTTGACTATTTTCAGTTCAATTTTCAATTTTTTAATTAAAAGATTTAGTCCTACCATTTTCATTCGTACTATTCTATAGAGTTCATGTTTTATGTAGGGGTGTTGCTTCATGCACCCCAAAATTGCTTAATCTAATCCTCAGTGGACAAATTTGGCCTTGTTAATTATCAATTAAAATTAAGTATAATTAAAACATAAATAAAAATTTCTTTGCGCACCTCCAGTTCCATGCCCGGCTCCTCCATATCATTTTTACATTAAGTATGCATCCAATAGAATGATGTCATGTGGCAAGTACTCTTTTTTTATAAAATGTCATAACTTTTTCATTTTTGGTCATAAAAATTATACCAAATTAAATATCTTTTTTATGATCTTTCATTTGACACCAATATTATATATGTAATTTTAAAAAAATCTAATTAAGTCTCGTGAACGGTTGAAAAATGTATATTTACTATTATTTAAATCTAGTCTAGTCAGATCTGATTCTATTTGTTTGAATCTTTCTGGTTCGGAATCAGTTCAATTAAAAACTAACTAATACCATTCACATCATAAATCTAGTCATGTAACATATATGATCGTAATGTGGAATCAACATGGTGCTGATGTAGTTTTAAAAGGTGGGACCCTCCACGTCTGAAATTAGTTCAACAAATAAAAAATGAAGGTAATTAGTTTACTAGAATTAAAAATGTTACTTATTCAAATATATAATCTAATATAGAATTTCCAAAAAATTCTAATACGAATTATAGAATTGCGCAAAGTTAAAAACAAAACAAAACATTTAGGTTTATATCAATCATCCAATACAATTGTAATGTGGTCTCTTATAACATTACGACATTCTATAAATTGTTTAATTCGATGAAGAGGTGGAGTATCCCATCCTGTAACACTAGCGTCGTGATAGTAAAATATAAGTCAAGAAACCCGCTTTTATCGACTCGTTCACGTGACACGCCCCACCCACCACACCGAAACCTGACCGGGGCCGCTTTTACCGACCCGTCCACGTGGCACGACCATATCGTAATCACTGGTGGCAACAGAGCATTGTCGTCAAGCCAAATATGTGCATCAACACAAGTTGTCATTTTATGCATATCATATGGTAATGTGAAAATAAAAAAAGGTAATGTGAAAACCAAATGGAACTAGAAATATTGTTTGCTTACAACTATGTAGTGGAGTATTGTTTGCTCAAGCATGAATGTCTCAACATGAGTATCGAAATTAAATTGCTTTCGATTTTGATGTCTGTAAGATTTCCCTTTAATATCCTAGCCACGTCCACGAGAACCATGATATGATATTGTACCCTTGGATTTTTTGTATTTTTTCTCCGTGTACTCCCAGGCGCTTGGGTCTCGAGTGGTTGATTTTTTTGGGCCTTCCCTTCGTTTCATGAATCGGTAGCTCTTTCATAGTATTAAGTTTTGGATTTCTCATCTCAATCCATTTTGCATGAAGTCTTTCTTTCTCTTGTGTTGATATACAACCTGATTTAAACTCATCAACTATGGTGTAATCTTGATTGTATTAGGAATTTAAGTCTATATTGAGAACTATTTGGAAACATTTAAGTGTATTTGGAAACATGTTACACAAAATTTTGGAAACATTAAAACTTATTTTTATTTTAAAAAAGCAATAAATTAGCCTAGTAATTAATTGACTCTAGGACACCAATTCAAATTGGATGTGTGCTATTAGAAGAGGACACCTTGACGTGTGCTATTAGGTGTGCCTAGCAAGTTTCTCTAGTGGCCCAATTATTGCTTCCGTATGGAAGAGGACAAATTAGTCCGATGGTGGAAAAAAAATCGGTGCGCAGAGTAGAGTAGGTTGGAGGTCGCGGAGAAGGCTCGTTTATGTAGTCAAAAGTGTCAAATCCTTATGCTAAAAGAATGTTACACATAACTTCATCTAAATTGACTTGAATCCGGTTCTTAAACCTACTTTCCAAAAAGAAAACATCACTACACCAGACAGGTCTGAATTCGAAAAAAATTTGGATCACTTTTACGAGTCAAGTTCTAACTAGCTAGTCTGATTTACAGAATTGGGACCAGTTCGACTCCTGTTCAACTGTTTTAGACTTTTAGATCATGTAATTCATTATGAGATCGTGTATGTTATACGGAGTACATAAAAATATTGATAAAGTATGACACCCCATTCGCGAGGGCTCCCATCCTTGCCTGTACAATTAGCGGGGATGATGTTCTAGACTACATACCAGTAGAGGTCCTATCCAGATTTACATAGCAATTTTTCATAGCAGCTGCAATGATTCGAATCCGAGACCTAACTGTTGTGGCCTATCTACTCATTGAGCTATGTGACTATGTCCACCGGTATAGAAATATTTAAACGGTTTATCAGAGCCGGCTTTGGGGGAGTTCATCCAAGTAAGGGTGTGCACCAATTCAAAACCGGACCGGACCGGACTGAACCGGACCGGAACCGGATTTGTCATGATATGGAAACCGAAAACCGGACTGGATGTATTCCGGGTTTTATCCGGAACCGAACCGGTTTATCCGGTTCAAAACCGGAACCGGATTGGAAAAACCAGTTTCTAAATAAATAATTTTTTTCTTTACTAAGAAAGCTACTAATCATTTGATAAAGACAGAGTTCTTATTATTAAAAATATTACTTTTATTATTATTATTTTCTAAACTCATTTTAATTAATTTTAGTGAGCCAATATCGGAGTAACTTGAGACTAGAATAATACTTCTATATTAGTTAGTTTTATTATTACGAGAATAAAAATGAATGGATAAATATAATACGTAGTATTATAATAATATATATTATAATCATTATGAAATTGATTGCTATTATATATTGTTATTAGTATGGAGTATTATTTTTTATTTTATAACTATTATTATATTAATATTAGTAAATATATTTATAAAAATATAGCAAAACCGGTTAAATCCGGTTCAAACTGGAATAATCCGGTTTTAATCCGGAACCGAACCGGAAATCGGTTTCCTAAATTTTCATAACCGAAAACCGGACCGGATATCATTCCGGTTCGATCCGGTTCCGTTTTCCCGGTCCGGTTTATGTCCAATTTTCGAATTTAAACCGGATATTGCACACCCCTACACTCAGGCAACTACCTTGGACCTCCCAAGCCAAAGGTGTCTCAAAATAATTGTTAGTACTCTTGAATATGCCTTTGAACTAAAATATGATGACAGCCAATAGTGTATTTATATATGATTACTAACTTGTCATTTTGAATACTAAAACTTTATATGTAGCACTTTTAATTTGAATATGCCTTTTTTCATATTGCGTTTTTTTATTAAATTTATCTCATTTCTGATATGATTTGTGCATAGTAAATATTTTTATGTCTAAGGCTATGATTTGCTCAAATTGCCACTGCGGTTTATTAGTTGTACAGCTGACAACTCAAACGTTTCTCTTTTAACAAATTAACGCAATTATATTAAAATAACTTTTTTCAATTA